GTCAGCAGTTGAGGCACTTTTTTCATGGCGTCTCGGGAAATAGCGCATAACTTGGTCGCCTTTAGTTATTTTTGTACGAAAAAATTATTTCAGACACATATTCAGTACATTTATAGGCAAATACATCCATAAAGTTTAAAATAATTCCCCACTTAAAAACACTTAAATTTTGGGCCATCACACTGGTAAGTATAGCCCCTTAGGTATTTAATAAAATAAATTCGACGTTAAGTGATTATTCATAAATAAACAAGATTACACCCACTCTGAGTAAATTGGACAAAAAAATGTTTCACGTTGTAAACGATAGAAATTCTGAGAAGATACGAGGAGAATATGGAAAACGAGAAACGTTATCACCAGCTCTCAGTGACTCCGAATGATAACTAGATTGAAAAATGAAATGGAAAGAATATCAGGAGAATGAAAGTAGCACACGACGGCTGCGAGGGAAGAAAGTCGACTGTTCGATGAAAATGTGATCTGCCGTTCTTTCGTGGCCGATTAGCGCGGACCTTTCGAAAACCTTTTGACCTACTTGAATACTAAATTGGATTCGTAATATTCGTCCAAATATAGCAAAGCATGTCTAGTCTGGCATTTTGCTGATATTTCAGTATTATATATATGCATATACATATTATATATATGCATATACATATATATATATATATATATATATATATATATACAGCCACAGAAAAATGCCACAGACTAGACATGCTTTCTTATATATGCGGTTTCCCCGTGCTTGCTTGAAAAAGGAGACACCTCATATTCACGCTATTCAGTTACTTCCATTCGTACTCCAAGCAGTCTACGTTATCACTCCTTTGGGGACGAGGAGCTCGGCCACGAATCTTGTTACCCCGACGCAGTAGAGATAAAAGTTTGACAGACCATAACTTTGCAATAAATATCCATAAACGGATGAAATTTGAAACGTCCGAAAAAGAAAAGCCTCCATTTTAAAATGCAGTTCGATTCATATTGATATGACCGCCGGTTCCAGAGATACCATCGTCCAAAGGCAATAGGAAGTCAACATGACGATTCTAACAATTTATCAGTGAATTTTAAATTGTTTTTCGCTCATATTCATTGCATAAGAAATATCACAATTATATTCTTAATGAAATTAAAAATTATGAAATTTATTTCATTTCCCACCATAGTGAGTACATTGCTTAATAACGCTGAAAGCTTTGGTGGTATTCATATTACACGATATTTCTCAAGTTTCCCAGAAAAATTCCAATAAAAAGCCTCGATGAAAATCTTTGCAGTTACTTAAATTTCCATTAGCATTAGTAGACTGCGGTTTTTTATACAAAATAAAATATCAATCCATGTACATTATAACATATAATAAGAATTAATACAATAAATATTAAATATTAATTCAATAATATATAATATATAATGATTAGGTACATAATGTTCCATGGAGATTCGAATCATTGGTACACCTCAATGATTCTCAGGCATTCATTTAAGACAACAGTATCTCTTTAATTACCTCTTGGAATTATATTGCCAACTGAGGGCAGTAAATATTCTATATCACTTGTGATCAGACGGTAGCATGGAATAAAGTGTAGTTATCATGCAGTGACGGTAACATATTGGTGGATTTCGACAGCGAACTGGGACACCTACATCTTTGTATTCGTCCTGACAGCAAATTGAACTTTCCCGTTGAATTCGCTCAGTGTGCAAGCTAACAGGCCGAGTAAGTAGGCTTTAGCATGAAAGCAAACATGACCTTTGCACATGAATACCTTCACGTTTTTACCCAAGCACAGTCTTAGCTTTGTAATTAATACTAACTTCCAATTTCAAGTTTCAATTACTATTCTGTGACTGCATCTATTTTTTACTAATGACTATTCCAATAAATTTGTTCAACCTTCTTTTATAGCTTCTCTTATAGCATGAAAAAAATACAGTAATCTGAAGGAAATTCTATTTATAGGTGAGGCAGTGTTTATCCACGATCTCTGACGTAAGGTGCAATTATTAGACTGCGGATTTTATGCAATTATAGCGAAATCGAGTAGGTGAAAATAAAATAAATAAAAAATATATAAAATTGACGAAATTGGAATAAGTATTAACAGCAAAATACGTAACATAGTGTCTAAAGAATTGAGCCGTTTATTTTGAAAGTGG